GACCTGAGCCGAAGTCAGACGCTTAACCAGCTGAGCCACCCACGCACCCTGTTGTGTTTGTTTGTTTGTTTTTAATGTTTTCGTTTATTTTTGAGAGTAAGAGAGAGAATGAGGGAGGGGAAGAGAGGGGGGGGTACAGAGGATTTGAAGTAGGCTCTGTGCTGACAACAGAGAGCTCAGTGCAGGGTTTGAACCCACGAACAGTGAGATCATGATCTGAGCCAAAGTTGGATGCTCAACCAGTTGCTTGAGCCACCCAGGCGCCCCTCATCTTTCTGCTGTTTTTAAGTCCCTACATGGTACTTCCCGTTTTTAGGACATTGCTGCCTGTAGGAGCTTGGTCTGAGGAAGACAAGAATATAACTTGTCACTGCATGATAGGAATAAAAAGTAGCTGGTCAGAACACCCCTGTATTTACCTTTATGTGTACACTTGTGAAGTTTACTTCAAAGTTAGCATTTGGTGGCTGGTTAAACTTGTGGCATTTGGATTTAAGAATCTTTTCCTTTTCTCCCTTTCATAGGTTCTCCGTCTTCGTCAAGAAAGAGTGGAACTAGCTGTCCCTCCAGCAAAAATAGCAGCCCTAACAGTAGCCCTAGGACTTTAGGGAGGAGCAAAGGGAGGCTCCGGCTACCCCAGATTGGCAGCAAAAATAAACTGTCAAGTAGTAAGGAGAACTTGGATGCCAGCAAAGAGAATGGAGGTGGGCAAGTTTGTGAGCTGGCTGATTCCTTGAGCCGGGGGCACATGATGGGGGGTAGCCAAACTGAACTGGTCACCCCCCAGGACCACGAAGTAGCTCTGGCCAATGGATTTCTTTATGAGCATGAGGCATGTGGCAATGGCTACAGCAATGGTCAGCTTGAAAACCACAGTGAAGAAGACAGCACTGATGACCAAAGAGAAGATGTTCGTGTTAAGCCTATTTATAATCTATATGCAATTTCGGTAAGTGGTTTGTTGTATGGTTTTCAGAATGATCTGCACTTTTCAATGATTTGTTCACTCATCTCATTCATTCATTCATTCATTCATCAGTCATTTTTTTCAGGACCTGCTTATTTGCTGGGCATTGAGCTTGGTGATAGACGAAGTTAGCAGTAGATATCTTGGCCTTTTGGATAGAATTCAAGATGCTCCCAGTGTATGCAGGGCATAGTAATGTAATCATTATAATTGGAGTCATGGGTTCAAGTCATGAAAAATTATGTACTCCTAAGAACTTTTCTTTCTAAAATATAATTACAAGTATAAAATGGTAAGATTTGGAGCTTTTAAATTTTGATTTTTCTTTTTGTTTTGTTTTTAGAAAAAGGTAAATGGTTCCAAAACATCTTTCTTAATCACCTAAGTGATTGGTATTTTCCCCATTGTGTCCTAGTACTGTGCCCTGACCAGACTACTGTTAACTACTAACATACCTCTACTTTCTTCTCTCTTACAGTGCCATTCAGGAATTCTGGGTGGGGGCCATTACGTCACTTATGCCAAAAACCCAAACAGCAAGTGGTACTGTTATAATGACAGCAGCTGTAAGGTAAATATCCCCCATCTTTGAATAAAAGAAACAAATGTCAACAGATCTGAGGGACATTTGCTGAAATAATAGACTTTGTACTCAATAGGAAATATTTCTGTTAGTATATAGGTGTCTTCAGTATTAAAGGAACAAAATCGATGTGCAGGGGCACCTGGGTGGCTCAGTGAGTTAAGCATCCAACTTTAGCTCAGGTCATGATCTCATCGTTTGTGAGTTCAAGCCCTACATCGGGCTCTCTGCTCTCAGTGTGGAGCCTGCTTTGGATCCTCTGTCCCCCTCTCTCTCGCAAAAATAAACATTAAAAAGTATTTTTTTTTTTTAATTTTTTTTTTCAACGTTTTATTTATTTTTTGGGGGACAGAGAGAGACAGAGCATGAATGGAGGAGGGGCAGAGAGAGAGGGAGACACAGAATCGGAAACAGGCTCCAGGCTCCAAGCCATCAGCCCAGAGCCTGATGCGGGGCTCGAACTCACGGACCGCGAGATCGTGACCTGGCTGAAGTCGGACGCTTAACCGACTGCGCCACCCAGGCGCCCCTAAAAAGTATTTTTTTAAATGATGTACAGAGCACAGAATGAAAACATGAATGGTGAAGAAAAAGAAGGTATTTGTTAATGAGAAAAAGTTCTTATCTTTTGAGCTGTTAGAATTTGATGGTTTTTTCTTTGCTTTTAGTCATTCTTTTGACTGTGGTCAGAATATTTTCCCCAAAACAAACATTGAAAATAATGGGGCTTAGTTTAGGACAGGTATCAGACAGCCAAAATGTTAAGCTGATTGGAATCAGTCTGGTTTAGTAATTAAAGAGGGTTGGTCCTCCCTTCCCTAGCAAGGATTTAGGGCCAGCATAGTAATGACTTTTTTATTAAAGGCTTTTCTTGCCTCTTCAGGAACTTCACCCTGATGAAATTGACACCGACTCTGCCTACATTCTTTTCTATGAGCAGCAGGGGATAGACTATGCACAATTTCTGCCAAAGATCGATGGCAAAAAGATGGCAGACACAAGCAGCATGGATGAAGACTTTGAGTCCGATTACAAAAAGTATTGTGTGTTACAGTAAAGCTACCACTCTGGCTGCTAGACAGGCTGGTGGTGAGGGAGATGACTCCCTGTAGCTGACATTTGGCAGAAGTTTCTCTGTGAAAGGCAAGCTAAATGTAGTTATTTTATCCTGTGACCCTGAAGCACAAAATAAAAATCCTAATTAAAATAGCAGTTAGCATAACAGTAGTAATACTTTGGTTTGGAAGTGTCTCACACAAGCTCTCTGGTAGAGAACTTTCAGGCGGAGCCCACCATTAGCCTGTAAACAAAAGGGTTTGGCACCAGCCACCTGGGACCAAATAAGAACTAAATTGTGCTTGTCCAGATATAAACAAATGTAGTGAGTGTAGAGTTTACCAATAATCATAACAAAATGCTAAGAATTTCCTTGGAGTCAAAGTAAAACAAAAAATTGTAGTGTTGTCTGGGGACGACATGATATGCTACCTCCTTTTTCCTAAAGTTTTATTCCATTTTATTGACAAGATGTGAGAAAGCAAGTTCAGAAGGCGTGCAAAGGATTCTTACGGCATGGACACACATTTTTCTATTTATTTTTTAAACCATTTTCCCACTATTTCTATGCCTTTCTTGCTTTTTGTTTCTGTTGTTGTGTTTGTGTTTGAGACACAACCAGCCATTCGTGGCAGAGGCATGTATATAAGTGGTCAGTCTGAAAGGGAGAACCTCTTAAGAGCTGTGTGCCTTCTACCCAGGGCCTTGGTTGGAGACCCTGTAGGGGAAAAAAAAAATGTATCCTGGGAAATCCAGCTAAAAGAGCCCTCCAGATAGAGGCATCTTACCTTGAGGTTACTTCAAGTGTCCTCAAAAATGTATCCCTCACCACTGCTGAGTGCAGTAGGATAGTTGCCAACATTTGCACCATCGTCACATGCTCATGTTGCACAAAGAGCTTCTCAGAGGGAAAGCGGCATCTAAGCTGGATGGTGTTTTACAACTAGTGGTTGTTTGTTCTTTGTTTCTTTGTTTTGCACTTTAGAAAAAGAGAGAATACATGCAAATGAATTTTTTAAAACTTGTTCATATTTGATGGCTGTAAGGGCTATAAATTAACTTGAATATGGGGTATTTTGCCCCCATATTAAATTTAAAAACAAAACACATCCCAAACACTGATAGTGTGTATTTTTAATTTAATTGGTGGGTTTAGGAAGTAAACTTTTGGTTTTTTTGCATGTCTGGTTTTTTTTAATTCTGGAGTTTGTCTTTTTTTTTCTTTCTTTTTTTAATAATTTCACAGTAATGGTCATCAAAAGTTACGTTTCTTGCTTACTTCATTTTTTCCTCTGATAATTCAAAACTGGAACAAAAGTATAAATGTTATTTATTTCAGGCAGCATTTTTTCCCCCTGTGTTGTTTTTAAATATATGTGAGGTGAACATTTCACTTTTATTTCAGTCTTTTTTTATTAATCTGGAACCTGGAAGTGATTCTCATTAATTGTCAGATTTCATTAACCTTCCCTCCTCATAGATAGTAGGTACCAATGTAATTAAGCATTTGTGTTCTGATATCTGAGGCCGGTTATTATTCAGTTCTTCTCAGAGCATTTGGAAAGGTTGCCTTAAATGGCTACGTAAGTTTAAACGCTATTCAGAAAAAGACTGTAATTACAAGTAGGAAGGAGTGGCCTAAATGATAAAATATTATAAAGTCAGACAAAACGCAGGCTTTGTAAGTTTCATGATTTCAGTTATATAAAAATCTGTCCATTTCTACCTGGACAAGTCCCATGAAAAAGTGGAAGATTTTAAATAATTTACTTACAGATGTTTTATTTAAGCAGGTAGCACAATCTACTAATGTTGTTTGATCTGTGTTTGTTATATTGGTTGTAATTAATTTTTTAATTCATGACTAGCAGAAAATTTATTAAATTAACTATTAACTACATTCACCTTGTAAATTACTGTATAAAACTTGTTGACAATGCACTGACTTTAGAAAGATGTTAATGTACATAAATAGAGTGTAAATAAAATAGTGTTGATGTACTGAAATATGACCTGTATAAAAAAGTATTGGTAATTGTATATGGAGTGTACCTGTTTATCTGTAACTATTATCCAAACAAATTAAATACTGTGGATGCATCTATGTGCTGGTTTTCCTCTATACAAGTAAAGAAAAAAGTCAAATTCTTCAGCCTTTTCTCTCTGTGACCCTATTTAATTCTCCTACTCGAATAATACGTACCTGACTTATAGAGTGGATGCTCCATCTCTGAGAGAATGGAAACTATTGAAGGTAGAACAAGATACCTGCAGTGGCCAGCTGAATTGATTTAAACTTTGCTCACATCCCTGTTAGGAAGCCCTCCAAGGAAGGCTCTCTGGGAGCCCTCCAAGGAAGCAGTTGGCAGTATTGAGAAGAGTTGAAGATTTAGAGCTGTGGGTTCTTCACCCTCAGTCCCTGTTTGTTTATCTTTAAAAATAGACTGCCTACCTCTCAGCCTTATCTTAAGTAAATGAAGTATATAAAAGCCTGGCAGTTTCTTGGTAAGTGCTCATTGAATGTGAAATCCTACCCCCATGAGATTCAATCATGTTTTGTAAAAAGATTTGTTTTGTTTTTACTCTTGCTATACTAATGCTAAAAGAATTTAATAGCTCTTTGCTCACATTCTCAATAATAGGAATATACATTAAAAATGTATAGATGAAACATGTTGAATCAGCAGCAGTGATAGCTTGTTTAAGGAGACAAACAGAAAAAGGATCCAGAAAGTCATCAACACTAAAACACAGTTCCTAAAGCGCCAGTCTGTGTCTCTGTTTCTAGTTTCTTAGTGGCCCTTTAAATTGAGAGAGGTCTTTGGGGCGCCTGGGTGGCTCAGTCGGTTAAGTGTCCAACTTCAGTTCAGGTCATGATCTCATGGTTCATGAGTTCGAGCCCCGCGTCGGGCTCTGTGCTGACAGCTCGGAGCCTGGAGCCTGCTTCGGATTCTGTGTCTCCCTCTCTCTCTGCCCCTCCCCTGTTCATGCTCTGTCTCTCTATGTCTCAAAAATAAATAAAACATTAAAATAAATAAAATAAATAAATAAATAAATAAATAAATAAATTGAGAGAGGTCTTCAGCCTTCCAGTCTCTCTGACTGAAGGTAGCATTTCTACATAAAAATCTCTCCACCACATGGTGGCATTGCTCGCTGTGGGCTCCTTTCTCAAATGTAGACATTACTGAATTGAAGCAAACTGATGAATTGCCACATTTCCCCAACTATTTTAAAGGTTGTATATAAGATTTTATTAGGCCAGAGCCAGAATGTTAGCTTAAGGAAAAGAGATTCCAGTTCCCTTGATGATGTATCTGCAGGTTCCTTAGTATTGACATCACAAAATCCAGAATACACCCCTATGATCAGAGACTCATACAAGACAGAGCAAATAAAAATAGGATGTCTTTAGGTTTGCCAAACTTCCTGAACAATGGGGAAGCAAGATAGTAAATAAGAGTCCAAGAATTGCAAACTCAGAGGCCTGTAGGGACCAGGTTTGGGAACAGAGTGTGAGAGAAGCGGGTTCAGCCATGGATGAGAATGGGGACTGGTAGGGACTAAGGTGGGTTCTAGGATGCACATCCATCTAAAGGCTCCCTTTGTTGCCATGCAGGAATGTGGGCTCCAATCTTACCATATCTTTTTTTCCCCCAAAGAGAAACCAGAAATCCAGATATTAATGCAAAATACCCAATTTAGAAATGTTGGCAATTTTTAAAAAATTTTAGACATTGTACTGTTCAAATAAAGCCTATCTGCAAGCCAGATACAAGCCATAGGTACATGCCCTCTGTAAGTCAGATGGTTATGGATTTAAATCAGAAGTCAGATTGTAGGGGTGCCTGGGTAACCCAGATGAAAGTCCCACTCTTGATTTTGGTGCAGGTCATGATCTCATGGCTTGTGGGATCGAATCCCACATCAGGCTCCACATTATCAGCAAGAAGCCTGTTTGGGATTCTCTCTCTTCCTCTTTCTCTGCCCCTCCCCCATGTGTGCTCTCTCTCTCTCAAAATAAATAAAAAAATTAGAAGTCAGATTGTAGCTCTGCTATTATAACAGCTGTGCAGTAAAATGTTCCTTAGGTGCTCAAATTTTTCATGCCCGATGAGAACACCACTCACTTCAAAAGGAGTAGATAATCTATGTTAATAAGCACAGAATCTGGCACATATTAGGTACTCAATATTCTTTCCTCATTTAGGGAAACAGAACACAGGTAAATACTGTAAAAGTAATGTTATGATCAAGTTCATTAGCAGTCCAGAGGCATGAAGCTAACAACATGTAAGCACGTTCTAGGTACAGAGCTCTGCTAAGTTTTCTAGGGCAGCAGTTCCCAATCTGGCAATTCATCAGTATCATCAAAATCAACTAGAAGCTTGTTTAAAGTGATGATCCCATCATTATCTTATTAAACCTGTGTTCCATATCACTCTACAGTAAGATTTATGAGATCTTCTCCCATGCAGTCCAAGAATCTGCATTTTAAGAAGTTCCTCAAGAGAGAATGTTTTACAACCAGCCAGTTTGCACTGGTCTTCAGTTGGTCATTTATGGAAACCACTGTTCCAGGGAATGAATCAGTATTCAGTCTAATTAGGGAATGATGATCTGTACATGCGCACATGCACACATGCAAGGAGGAGTAATAGTAATTAACCAAAGCTCCCTGGATATAATTGTCTTTGATGAAGTGCTAACTTGAGGACACTAGACAGTAGGCTATTGACAAAGTACTTTGGAAAAACCAAATGGGAAAGGGAAGTGAGCTGTGCCATGAAGCAAGAGCAAGATTTTATCAGAAGTGTGCAAAACAGTCTGGCAGTCTAGACAGACAAAGAAGCAGAGATATGTAGACCTGTAGGCTGAGCTAAAGGTGCTTGGGGAGCATGGTAGAAGATAACAGGAACCATGTTGTGAAAGCCTTTGAAGATCAGACCAGTTATAATAAAAGTTTCATGATGCCACGTTTTTGGTATGGTTGCAAAAGATTTTCATATGGTTTACATAAGTACACACTACATTTAGACCATTTTATTGATTTTTTTAATGTTTATTTTGAGA